CAATTTCTACACATACGTCATGAATCCAATGGTAATAATATATATATTACCAGTACATATAAAATTTACTCTTTTAATAATATGCATATCTACTGTTCAAGTTCTATAAAAATACCACTCGATACAGGCTAATGAACATAAAAGGTTTTTGTTCCTGCATTTAGTACTGATCGAACCATGAGGTTGCCCACAAATCGAAGACAAAAACCAGGGGAAGCACATGCATAGACAGAATAAGTTCTTATGACATTGAAGTAGTAGGCTATCAACATGACTCTGTATTTCCTTCTTCGATTAGTCTCTTAGATCATACCAGAAATCACAAGAAGCCAAAATATGAGACTTGTTTTAAAGAGTGGAATTGGAATACAATTCCTCTTGTGGCATGAATGTAGTGGATTATTTCCATATTAAGTTTGGGCATATACTCGATCATAATTTATTATCAGAAAATCATACAGCTATCCTGTTACATATAGCAGAATATTGCTTTTTTTTTTTGGCGAAAATATGGATATCAAGTCAAAGTCTTTTTTTTTTTTTTTCTTTTGTTATTCTATTCTTTTGGTACAAGGGTTATACTAGAGACAGAGAGAGAGGAAGAGGGGAGGGAGTTTCAAATCCCATCTCTATGAGCCTGGTGGCCTAGGCAACCAATTCAAAGTCAAAGTCTTTTTTTTTTTGTTATTTTCTGTGTTGGTGGTTTCATGTAAATTTCCCCCTAATATGTTTATCAAATGGAGAACCTGCCTGGTTGTGCACTATCCACTCTACACAAGATAAGAAGCCCAAGAATGCAACTTCACATTTTCATTTCAACTGTAAGAGTACACTTTTAATAATCTGAGACCTTAAAGAATAGTTCAAGCTCAATTTGTGCCAAGAACTCAAATTGGGATTCAAAACTTGACGAGCTCAGATCAAGGAAGGGTAATTATTAAGATTCAGTTCAGTTATCCAATCTAGTTTGAACTCATACGAGCATGCAACTTGATGAGGCTTTTGTATTTTTACTTTTAAGCATCTTCTAAAACTGATATACATGGTCATTTTTAAGAAAGAGTAAAGATCATAAGATGTGCTAGGGTGTCTTATACATATAAGGGTTTTTAGCATCAGAAGATGTGCTGCAACTTCAGTAACTTCAAAAAGTTGAATTAAACATGTGAAAGAGCAAAGAGAATATTGAACATAGTTTATGAAACAGACCAAAAATTATGCAAAAACTTTACAAAGAAAAGCACAAAAACCAACCACGTACCAGACTCGTGAACCGCTGATCCTATACTATTGCACGACTTCTCCTCCCCCATTGTAATGCTCAGTTGCTTTTGAAAGTTTTCCATTCTTGGCGAAGATGTATAATCAGATAAACTCTTCTTCTTTTCTCTGTGAATGGATAGACCTCTCCTCTTCTTAAAATGCACTCAGGGATGGCGTGTTGAAGTCCATGCCAGCAATTTCTAAGTAAGATCCCAAATTCAACTCATATATATATATATATGACTAGTTTATTCCAAGTTGAAATGTACCTGCACCTACCAATCGAATGATACGGATCCTTTGGTTGGTGGGACTTGTCTCTTTCATAGGCGAGAATCACAGTATTTATTGGTTACTTTCACATGATTGATTTCTTTTTATTTTTTTTTTGATGTTTGATGTCTTCAACGAATCGTATACACGAACCATATATGATATATCTTTGCAATATTGTTGGCTATGTATTTATGGTGGATTTTGTGATGGAAAAGCCCCATTTTCTTGTTCACCAACTAAGGTCCCTAGTCTAATTTATGTATATGATTGTGAGTATCCACCTACTCTACGGTTTGACATTGATGGTTAAACATAGATTAGAAGGCATTTATAGATAATATAAAAACAAACTGGTATCTCTGGGGATAAGGATGCTCTATGCGAGTTTTGATTGGAGGAACCCACACGAAATTGGATTTAAATAAGTATTTGGACTATGGTGGTTAGATATATTTTATATTCCCTCTCTATGAGATATATGTGACTTTCTATAAAGTTTTAAATTAAAATATCGATGCCCAACTATATAATAATATGCCTTGGGCAATCTCTACTATCTAAAGTTTAGAGTGATGAGCGTTGAGACTCGTATACTCTTTTCTTTTTATCTTTTAAGAGCAGGGGAAGAGGGTTTTCATGTTAATGGGTTCTAGTTATACAGATTTTGTTTCTCGACTTGGTTATTCGATTGGCTACTTGGTTATTTTGCTTATTAAGGGGCACTTGGCATGATAAGAAGGAATGAGATAGGAAGTGAGACAAGATTTGGAACAGAAGATCCACGCAGATTTAAGAAGTGCAAAAATCGAGAATGAAAAGTGGAAATGGAACCCGTGATTTTTAAATTCTGAAATTTTAACCTTAGCTATTAAATTAAACTAGGGACTCCTTGACCACAATAAGAACAAGTAAATAAGGCAGATGATACTGCTAGAGCAAATTTCACTTCACGACACAACTTTGCCCTTCTTTATATTAAGAATCATTACGGCAACTAAATCCTCGAGACCCGATGACAAACCTTTCTTTTTCCCTTTTCCTATTCTCAACTACAAAATATTTGATTTTTGATCATCATGATCGCCACAACAGTAAAGCCGCTATCACTACTACAACCTTTAACCTCCAATCCTGTTTCATCCAAAAAATTCAAAGAAAGCTTAATCATTTGTTTGGTTAAAGCCACTTTCATTTATTTGGGTATGGAAGGTTGGAGTTTGAGTGACCAATTTCCTTCTATTTTAGTAGTCGTAGTAGTTAATCTTATTGTCTTAGGACTGAGCAACAAATTCATGAATTCCATTCGAAGCAGTAATAACAATGGCATTGGTATAAAATCATTTAGTACGAGAATACTTTATTATTGTTCCAAAAAAAAAAAACTGACAAAAAAAATCATTTTGCATCAACATATCTTATTGAAACAGAGGTAGTTTGAGGCTTTGATAATACCCTTATGACACTGATATTAATGAATAATCTATGTTTTTAAACTTAAATACTACAGCCTTTTTTGGCAATTAAGGTATTAACTTTACAATTTGTTCAACGCTGGAAAATCCGTATTATACCGAGGTAGAAGTATGAGATTAGCAATTGCATAAGATTGTATTGAACTAAATGGTACCATAGTATATGATTTTATTTATGAATTTTACAAACTAAACAAGAATAGCAATGGAAAAACGCATTAACAAAAGTCAAAGAAAGCAAGACACTTAAGAAGCAAAGTTGCGGCAATTACCGTTGACTTTCTCAAACATTTGTGAAAACACGCAAAGACCCATAAGTATTCTTTTCATACAGTAAATTAAGTCTCAATTTATGTTAACGTCTTTCACATTGAATGCTTGTTATAATTCCGAAATCAAAGAAAAAAAAAAGAACTTCTTATTGATATTGAGAATATTATTTCTGTTAATGAATAGTTCTTTTATCCATTTTAAAAGTTCAATTAATTAATTGTACTTAAAGACAATGAAGTATGGAATCAAGTTTTGCATAATATTTGTCTTTAACTACCCATTAAATGATGTAATATTCTCAACAGCAATAAAAAGCAATAGAAAGGATATTTACATATTGTTAGTTCTCCAAACCATTAGAACTTATACATAAAATTTTTTTTCTTGGGGTGGGGGTGGGGGGCATAACTCATAACAAGGGAAAACCCAAATGATATATTAAGACTTAAATTTATATAGACTTAAATTTAAATTTAATACTAAGGGCCTGTTTGGAAGTCAGGTTTTTAAGCAAGTTTTTTACCTACTAGTTTTTTAACAACTTTTGCTACAGGAACCCCAAAAAACTTCTTTAAATTTTTTACCTACCCACTTCAAAATATACAAAACACACAAAAAAAAAAAATTTTCCTTCCCTTTTTTTTCTTCTTTCTCTCCCATCCCAACCCACCACCACCTCTCCGGACTAGACTCCAGTTCAATTACCGCTTCCAATTCAATCTATCCATCTATCATGCTCCAGAGTTTGCTCCACTCCAATTCCACTGCTACTTCTGCTTCCAACCCCATTAATTCCGTTCCCATTCCCATTCTCCTTCCCCCAGCAGAAACGCTCGTCCCTCCTCCAACTCCTCCTCCTCTATGCAGTCCAAGCGCTCCTCCTCTGCCCACCACGAAGACCTCTCCTCCTCAAACGCCGCCACTCCTCCCTCGGCCCCGACAACCCTTCCACCTCCGCTGACAGAACCATCGACTTAGACAACGAGGACGATGACGTTGCTGAGCTCGAAGCCGCCGCCGCAACCGCTTCCTTGGGTGGAGCAGCAGCTGGCGACACCAAGTCCTCCGGCCTCTGTCTCCTTGGCCTCCTCCTGCAATGCGCCGAGTGCGTGGCCATGAACTGTCTCGACGCGCCAGCAACCAGCAGGACCTGAGCCACGGGGGAAGCTTCTTGCGGCGGTTCGTGGAGGCGCTGCATTACTACTCGGCGCTGTTCGATGTGCTGGAGGACGGAATGGGGACGGACAGTATGGAGAGGCACACGGTGGAGCAGCAGCTGTTAGGGTGCGAAATCAGGAACATCGTGGCCGGAGGTGCTAGAGGTGGGGCCGGTGGCGGAGTAGGGGGTGGAGCAGGCTGCATTGCTGCTGGGAGGCAGAGGTAACGGGGAAGAAGAAGAAAGAAAAGAAAAAGGAAAGAAAAAAAAAGAAAAAAAAAGAGAAAGAGAAAAAAAAAAAAGGAAAAAAAGTTTTTCCCTTACAAAAAAACTCCTACAAAAAAGTTTTTCACCTTATAAAAAACTTTTACAAAATTTTTTCAAAAACTTCTACAGTGCACTACAGTAAAGTTTTAGATAAACTTCTAAAAAACTCAGGTTCCAAACAGGCCCACTGTAATTTTCAAGGAAAATTTCTTAAAGTCAACTGTAATTGCTGTGACATTGCTTCCCAATGTTCTATTTCGAAATGTCATGTTTTCGTTGACTGTCACTAATTTATGCCTCCTTTTCTTTTCCGATTTGTGCGTGTCATCCTTGCGCAGGGACCATGCTAATCTTCTCTGTACCGTTCCAATCTTATCGGATGTCCTTGAAGGGGCTATGCTTCCTTTTCTTTTCGGATACATTGATATGCATTTTCTGTTCTATTTCAGTTTAAGCCTTATGGTACAAGTCATTACTGCAAATGGTAATGTAAAACTTTTCAAACCCCTTATAAAGGACTTTTAATTGAGCTCTTTAAAGTTTAATGTACGCACATACTCTGTAGTTATAAAGGATTAAATAAGGATATTTTAAAGAAGTTATAAATTAACTATCTTTTTCAATTGAAAAGTGGATTACAATTTGAAACGGATAAAAAAATAAAACAAAACTATCACTATGGGCAGAAGGAGTATTTTACTTTTCATAGAGATTAATACTTGAAATCCCTTTTAATCAGTATTAGACTAACTGTGACGTTAATGCCATAATGGCCACGAAATCTATAGAATTCAAGTTTGAAAACATAGATTACTCATTTGTCTGCAGAACTATCTACAATCCAGCTCAAAGCCTCAACTACCTCTATTCACTAAAGATATCAAACATCAAAAAACAAAAATCAAAAATCAATCACGTGAAAATACCCATAAATCCAAAATAAGTCGGTGCTTAGTTTGGGAGTTCTGGATAGAAAAGAAAAGAAGAGAAAGCTTAAGTTATGAGAGAAGAGAAGAGATTGTTATGTTGTTTGGGAGTTTTGAGAATTAGTGGAAATGGAAGTCATTAAATATTTGTTCAAGGCATTTTTAAGGATAAAATAGACATTTTAGAAAAATTAACAACCTTTCTCCAAACTTTCTCTCCATTTCCTTCCAATTTGGGAGGAAACATTTTGGTCACTATTCATCCTCCCATTTCCTTTCTTTTCTTTCCTACTTAAAACTACCAAACAAAAGAAAATCAGGCTTTCACTTCTTTCCCTTTCTCTTCCATTCAAATCCTCGACTCCCAAAGACACCCTAAAAGAGGCAACTCCTTCGATTCGATTAAATGCAAATCATTTCATGTATAAAAAACATTTTTTTTTGTCAAATTGATATTTCGTATTCCCCACTCTGTTCTTACCATTTAATTAAGACCATGGACCGCATTTTATATATTAATATATCCAACCAATGAAAGGATCCGTCTCATTCAATTGGTAGGTGCAGATACATTTTGACTTGGAATAAATTATACGTGTGTATGTGTGTTTGTGTCACTGTATTAGAAGAAATTGCATGAATATGAAGAAAGAAATAATAGTGAAGTTAGAAGTAATTCTAATGAATCCTTTTTCAATTTTTTTGAGTAATATTTCATCCCAGAAAAATTAATAAGGCTGAGTTATTCAATCTTTCAGATGTGCAAGCAGCGGTCAAGAAGACACCTCCAGCTGATCACACATTGAAGGTTCTCTTTTCTTCTTGAAATCTTGCCAAAATAAAAGCAAAGAGTTATGAGTCACAGATTTTTGAAGCTTCTGGTTACGAATGGTTGAGTACCAATACTTTTCTCAGGATTACTTTTCCCATTTTCTTAATGCATCTGGAGGCAGTTATTTGAAGTTTAAACTGCGAAACAAATTGGTGCAAAATGCTCAGAATCATAAAAATGATGAAAGTCATTAGAGAACATTTAAACATATGGTGTCATTCATTAAAATTCATAATATACCCTTAATTATAAGGGCAAATTTATCTCAATTGCAGATAAATATTTGAATCAGAAGGCAATTATCTATTCAATAATCAACTAACTACAGCTTTCTCAGCTAACTTCCAACTTCCACATATTCTTCTCTACTCCGATCATTTTTGTTTCGTGTATGATTATCTACACTATAATAGAATTTGATCCATAAAATCCATAAAAAAAACTTTTTAAAGAGATAACTGTGATAAATATATTTTTTTTGTTAATTGTACGCACATTAGAGTATGCCTTAAACACTAGTATTCATAGCTATGGTATATTTTTTTAAAAAAATAAAAACCCCTATAAACTTTAGAAAAATGCTACCGTCCCTTTGAGTATGATACGCACGATTCTAAGTCACTTATATCTTATCATATCATTTAGTAATTTAAATTCTTGAAATAATTTGAAAGTTAATAACTTTTATTCTATATCTAATGGTAAATTTAATCTTATCAATAGCGCACCTAAAAGGAACGATAGAATTTCCTAAACTTCAATTTACACGGGCTATTAAAAGTTAAAACTTCCAAAAGAAAAACAAGAAAGAAATACACTACTCGCTTACTCTTCACGTGTGACAGCCACCACTCACTTGTTGGAAATCTACAAATTCCAAAAAATACACCACTCGCTTACTCTTCACGTGTGACAGCCACCATATCCCAATTCCAACGCCCCGCCAGCTGAAGCTCCAGGTTTAAGGCCGCCGCCGCCACCGCCGCAGCAGGTTTGTGTTTCATGGTTTTGAGTAGGCTTCTGTAACTTCTCTTGTAAAAGTTTAAGATTGATGCTACTTTTAGGGTTTATCTATAATCAGGGCTTCGAATTTGTTGGTGCAATGTAACAATCGGACTAACAATTGGGTCTTGATTTCGGAAATAAAGTAGAGACCAAAATTTAAAGATTCCCTCAAATTTGTTGTAATTTAATTTCGGAAGTCTTTTCTACCTTTTCACGACTAAGATATGTATAGACAGTCTATTAATGTTGCTGGAAATCTTTAAAAATGTTTTATTTTTTTTGGTCTAGATTACAGGATTGATTATACCTGTTATAGAGATTTGATTTATGCAGATTGCTGTTTCATTGAGGAGATTATCATCTTCTGTTGTTTCTTCTTACATGAATTCCAATGATTTCTTGTCCTCCGTACCTCAATAGTGTTTGGATGTTTTGTTAAGAATATGGTAGCTTCACAGAGAATTGTTTGCGGTTTAAGCATGTTTTCCTACATTCCCTTTCTTGTCACAGAGAAGAAAAGAGATGTCATACCTTCTGCCTCACCTTCATTCCGGCTGGGCTGTTGACCAGGCTATCCTTGCTGAAGAGGAACGACTTGTTCTCATCAGGTTCGGACATGATTGGGATGAGACCTGTATGCAGGTAAGGCATCCTCCTGAATTTCCTTCAATTAATTCTGTCTTTCTGTGCATTTTCCAGTTTACAGTGGTTTATCTGAAAGTTTTTTGAATATTAAGGGGCCTATGACTTGTCTTTAAGCAGAAAAAGAATTACTAACTTGTGAAAAGTCCTAGTTCTAGTTGATTAAACTTTGGGATGAGGGAATTGTTTCCATTTCTTTTACCGTTCTGCTTTGGATTTTAATGTTTTCTTTTGCACTGCAATTGTTGGTTGATTAAAAGTTTTAAATAGTTCAAAGAGAAGGAACATAATAGTTGTAAATGGTTGCCAAAAAGGATTCTGGTGAAAAATGAGGCCAATTAGACTAATGCCCTCTTATGGTATTTTCCAAATGTCATTAGAAGTCAAAGCTGAGGTTGGCTGAAACTGGCTATGTTAGTCTCAATAGAAGTTGCACTGGTTCCCTCAAATTATTAGACTTAGTTTACTACTAGTTAGCTTAAATGAACAGTCACTTTAGATGTTTTCTTTTTCGGGCTAACAGAGTTATGAGCTATTGATCATGGCAGCAGGGAGGATGGTCTTTGGTCTCTGTATGTGTGGTATGCTGTATTTTACGTGTCATGTTGAGAGTCATGATGAGTTGACTGCGGTGGTAGACTATAGCAGTGCTATGGTGTCAACTCTGTTTTTTTTTGCTGCCCCTGGTTTTTTCATGTTTTGGTTAGTTTTCATATATATGATGCCATAGCAGTGCATACATATTTTGAGTTTTCATATATATGATGCCACAGCAGTGCATACATATTTCGTGTTGAATCCCATCAAATTTTAGTTGCCCATTGATGAGTAGTTCAGGTTAGATTATTTCTGAAGAGTCCTAATCTAGTTTGCTAGTACTTGATGCTTAGAGTGAGATTTGCTGACACTGCACCGCCTGGTTAGTGCAATAATACATGCCGTGGTTCAAAGTCGTGGTCAAGGATGTCACTTCCCATCTCTGATATCAATTGTGTATAGGATTATGCACAAGTTTTAAAGATTATGAAGTGTTTCAAAACTATTTGCTTTTTGTCTAACAGAAAATAGTATAATAATCACTATTGTCACAGGAAAATTAATAGAATGATGATGTCAAATATACCCATCATAAGTTGATTCAGATGCAGAAAAACTATTACACCAATTATAAGTGAGCATTGATTAAACTATTAAATATACTTTTAAAATGTTATTCTCAATTGATAAATAATTGAGTCGTGATTTTCATTGTTCTTCAAGTTTCTTATTTAAATCAAATTCTTGCTGTGTCATTATTATGGTGCTAAATACAATTTTTAATTATTCCTTTTTTAGTATATTTAAGATAACTTATGAGCTCTAGTCTATTTGACTCGTAGCATGTAGTATCTTCTTCCTAACAAATCAGTCAACAGACTCAACAGTAGTATGGTATATTATGCTTAATTTTGTTAATGTAATCATTACTAGTTTCTTCTTGTATTTATTTTAATACTCTTCTCCTTTGGGTCATTCATATCTACAGTCTCTACTCCTTGCCCCCTGTCCTCTTTAAAGATCTCTGTCCCTGGCAGTTTGCAAAAGTCAGAGATCAGTCTGACTTGCTTGCTTGGTTTTTGAGCGGCGCTTACAATCAGGAATTTGGAGCTGCTTTCTCTATCTTTTTAATTATCCTTTTTCCTTTTTTTTTCTGGAACTGCTTTCAAATTGTCTAAAACAGTAGGAAGGCAAATTTAACTTTAAGTACTGGGCAAGCAATTCAGCTGACTTTTGTGTGCCTCACTATGTTCCCCTGTCCCAGACCTTCTGTCATTAATGGGATCTCCAAGACTTACAGCAAAAACATTCAAATAATCTAGTTTTTTTTTTTTTTTGAAATCACAGGTGGAGGTTGTGTCCTAATGGTGTAAGATGTGTCTTAGCTGCTTAGGCTTCCTGCATTTATTCGGTCTTAGGAAATGCTTTGGGTAGTCCATTTTTGTGGTTTGTG